TATATACTCAATTGAAATGCAAATTAACACAACGACAGAGGAAAGAGGACAAGGATATTGGAAGAATAATATCAATGTTTACAAAGAAGAGAAGTTTCAAGATGAACTGAAAATGAAATGGGCAAATTGGAAAACTCTTGAAGGATTATTTGAAACCAAAACACAATGGTGGACTGAAATTAAGAAAAAAATTAAAGATCTTGTAATAAAACATTCTGTAATATCTGCCAAATCAGCAAAAAAGAATATGAGAAAGATTTGAAAAAGCTGGAAAATTTAAAGAAAAGACTTCATTCAGGGGAGAAACTTCTCACAATATAAAACAAAACATAGTGAAAAAACAGAATGAAAATAATAGTAAAATCAAGATTCAATCCATGGCGAACAATTTTGATGCAAATGAAAAATGCAACAAAACTTTTTTCAAGAAACTTCGAAAAAGACAAATGCTTGCTCATGTGAATGAGTTGAAAGATGAGAGAGGCATAAAGCATGAAAGAATAGTAGATAAAATGAGAATATTAAAGAAATTCTATCAAGAGTTATATTCCAAGGCGACAACTAATTATCATAGTAAAAACTGTTTTTTAGATAGCATAAATAGTGAAAAGATAATTGATGAAACTGAAGCTGATGAATTACAGAGACACTAAATATTGGAGAAATTGAGGCTACAATCAACTCATTTAAAGAAAACAAGACACCTGAACCTGATGAAATCAGTATTGAATTCTATGAGAAATCGATGAATACAATAAAAAATGACATATTCCAAATAATGGAAGAAATATTTGAAAAGTGCACTATAACAAAAGAAATGAAATTGGGATATATGACCCTTATACATAAAAAAGGAGAGCAAGACGAAATTAAAAATTATCGACCAATATCTCTATTGAACTGTGATTATAAAATACTGACTAAATTGATAGCAAATTGATTAAAACGAGTATTGCCTAAAATAATAGACGAAAACCAAACAGCAATTTCTGGAAGAAGAAGTTCAGATAGTCAATAGCTATCAAGTTCAGATATGTTAACAATATCAAGAGATATTTTGGTGCAGGAACAAAACAAAGTTGGTGAGTCATCACTATTATCATTAGACTTCAACGGAGCGTTTGATACAGTAGATCAAGAATTTTTATATAGAACACTTCAAAAATTTGTTATAAAAGACAAATTGATAAATATACTGAAGTCCATATATAACTTATCAGAATCCCGAATAATAATGAATGGATATCTTAGTGAAACGATACAACTTGAACGAGGAATAAAACAATGGGACCCACTAGGTATGAGTATATTTTTAATTTCCGTAGAACCCATGATAACATATATTAACTCTGTTAAAGAAATACGAGGAATATCGATACCAAGAAATAAAGATATAAAAAATGTAGGATATGCAGATGATATTACCCTTATATTGAGAAATAGGAATTCAATATACAAAGCTTTGGAAATACTGAAAAGATTTGAAATGGCAACGGGGATGAAACTAAACCTAAAGAAAACAAAATTACTGACTATTGGAATATGGAAATCAAAGTTTAGTCATCCAGATATAGATATTGTAGAAAAATTAAATGTATTGAATGTTTATTTTGCAAACTATGATACAAGCAAATATAACTGGGGAATATGTGCCAATGAGGTAAAAATGAAGATTGAAGAGTTATCCAACACAATACCATTGACATTGGATGGAAAATGTCTAGTAGTAAAGATGAAAATACTTCCTTTGTGCCTATACTTGGCCAGAGGGATACCCATGCCACCAAAGATTGGAAAGAAAATTAATGAACAGATAGAAAAATTTATATTCGAGAGACAAATTAAACTAAAAATTGAGACATTGTGTAAATCAAAGACATTGGGAGGATACGACATTATAAATATACCAATTTTTGGGATGTGTTTATATATAATGTGTGCTATAGAATACATTAATTATAGATTTGATGATAGTGATACTGATAACCAAAAAAATAGAACTGTTTTAAATTTAATAGAATTCAACATAGAGCAACAATTAAGTGTATATTATGGTTTATCTGTAAATAATAGTGTCAAACATAGTTTACAACCTCATAAGAATTATACTCCATATTGAATTTATGAAAATGCATTTGAGTAGCCCTTCTTATGAGTAGAAAAAAATGCTATTATTTTGTTATTGTCTATTACTAGGTATAAGATTTGGTTGCATCGAAATGCAGTAATTTTTCAAAATGTTATGCCGAGTGTTAATAGTGTAATAAACACAGTTAAAAATGCTTTAAAATGTAGAAATAAAGTAGAGAAACTTAGAAATTCACCTAATTTTACAAGAGAGCTAAGATTATTATGTAACTATGTATTAATTAAGAGTAATGATCAATCAAATCGTTTTTTATTTACTTTATCATCTATAAAGTATAGAAAAGTATATATACCAATGTCTATACAAGTTTAGTGTATTAGTAAAAAATAATTGTAATCATATGAATGATGATTATGAAAAAAATGGAATTATGAAAAAAAATGAACGATGATGAATTCTTCCTTGGAACAACCATGAATAACATGTATAACATATTAATAATGTACTGTTGCTGTTGATAATTCTTTTTGATAATATCTTATTTGTTATTTTTCATTAAAAAAAAAAAAAAGAAACCATCATTATGATTCATCGCATACAACAATAATATGTTTTTTAAAAGTACCGGTAAATAATTTTGGCCTGGTCTATCACAGTTATTTCTACACTAATTTTTTATTACTGCAATTAAAGGTCCATTGCGTTAGCACACTTGTTAAACAACCAATATAAGGTCAAAGCAGAGAGCGCTGTAAACATTCCCCACTACTGTTATCAGTTATATTTAGATTCTGAATATAAATGGATTTTAGAAATTAGATTTATTATTAATATTAGGTTTTATTAATCATGAAATATTCCAAGAAACGTAAAATTGACAGAGAGTGTCGAGCATTTAACAAAGATTGGATACGAAGACGGTACCGTATTTTTTGTAATAATCCGGCCCGCCGAGAACTTCATTTTCCCACATATGGCCCGCCGACTAGAGAAGTTGCCCACCCTTGCTCCAGGTCCTCTGCATTTTGTTTGTCCGTTTGTTGTTGTTTTGTTTCTTTCAGAGGGACCAAAATAAAATTGATTGATTGATTTTACCTGTACACCGGTAGCCTACCGGTACCGTAACCTAATGCTGTAATGCTTGGCAGCGAGTTGATGAATCTCACAATTGTCTGAATTGTAGTCTTCCATAAAGATATGTAAACTTTACATTGTGCCATAAATCTGTAAATATTTGACATCATTTCAAAACATTCCATATTTCAGCACGGCTGTGTGGCTCATCGTGTTAAGCGTTAGAAATACGCTCGCCACCGCACCTCTGATTACTCTTCTAGTCTTCGTTGGTTCGAATCCCATGCGGGGATGGTCATGTGCGAGAGGATTGCTGGACTCTTCGCCGCCATAGGGTGGTTCACGTAACCGCTGGTCGGTTACGGCTTCCTCCACCATCAAGTCCATGCTAGTTAGTTAATAAAAATAACTAACTAATCCCATACCCGACATGGAATGGTAACCGGACGAGAGGCCGTGGTTCGTCATATGGTTAAGCCGTCTTATCGACTTTGCTCTCCCTGGGATAAATATGTAAATCCTATTTAAATTCAACAGTACAGTGCGCTAATCACCTAACACAAATTAAAATTTCAGTATTTCGTCTAGTCTACTAATCTAAAATGTCGAACTATGCCAATGCTCCTGTATTTCGGAAAGCTGATATTTCAAAGCACAACAATAAAAAGAGCTTGTGGATTATTTTAAATAATAAAATCTATGATGTTACAAACTTCTATTCTGAACATCCTGGAGGGAAATCTGTTTTGAACGATGTAGCAGGAAGAGATGCCACAGCTGATTTCAATGATGTTGGTCATTCGAGGGATGCATTGATAATGCAAGAGGAATATTTTATTGGAATGCTTCATCCTGATGACCAGAAAAATTGATAAAATATTATTCTGTGAAAATTATAAACTTTAGTGAAAAAAGTTACTTTGATTAAATAGTCTAGTTGGCAAACTTCCACTGAATAAATTGACCTTGTGTATAACGTTCGTCTTTTACAGTATGCAGGTATAGCACCAAACAAAAATGTGATGTGAAAATGAACGGCATAACTGCTTGAATTATCCAAACAAAAAATGTGATGTGAAAATACAACTCAAATTTCAATTTTTTTTAAATACTGAAATAAGGGTCTGTTACAGGCAAACACTAAACCCTATTTCAGTAAGTTAGATGTGATTTCATCTAACATGTCTGTCTGTCAGTAATTTCGTGAGAGACAATTTTATTAAAAAGTAAAAAAAGGATTTTCACACATTTTCGTTTAGCGCTAGGCCTATAATACAGTAATATAAGCAGTTACAGCATTTATTCGGATATGGCTTCCACCACCATCAAGTTCATGCATTTGAAACAAGTAACTGGCTAACTAACGTCGTACTCGACATGGATTAGAAACTAGAGGTCGTGGTACACCGTGTGATAAAACCAACCTGTTCTTATCGGTTTTCCTGTCTGCTAGGATAAATTTGAAAATCCCAAGATACAACATCATTGGCAATTATAACTTGATAAATTGGCTATTATTTCACCATGTCAATTTTGCTCTTTACATATTGAAACAAGTTTTTTCAAAAAATTCATGAACATTGGAAGTGTATTTTTTGTCTTGTGTCATATATAATTTTATTTATCCCTACTACTGTTCTACATGTACTACAGCAGGGCTACTCAACTGGCGGTCCGAATCCGGACCTTTCGAGTACTTGATTCGGACTGCACCTAATTCTTTATTTTGGACCATTAGCCCCACATTTGAAGTTTCATTTTATAAAGTAACTTTTATTGTTTTGAATATATATGAAATAAACTATAACACCATAACAAACAAGCTTGATTAGCTAATAATCATTAGCCGGTCGAGGAAGTGTGCGTTTGAGGATGCCGAAATATAATTTGTGAAAACACCGGACCCAAATAATTTTGAAGTTTTGTATGCGGATCTTCGGTAAAAATAGTTGAGTAGCCCTGTACTACAGTACTACACTGCATCTTAAAAAACAATAAGAACATAAGGTAATTGTGATCAGTATCAGGCTATTTCAGTATTTGAAGTTGTAATAGCATACTAATCATACTTTTTTACGCTGTAGAAGGAGGCTATGTTGTTGTTGGTTTTGCTTCATCCTTTTCTTTATTACATTATTTGTTTTAAAAATGTCTGTAACAGGCTGGCGTGAACCAATCCATCGATTTTGTCAAAATATGTGCAATATAATAGGTAATTTTTTTAATTACGGTATATCCATGATGACATGATATATATTTTATTTAGTTAGGTTCATTCTGGTATGATTACAATGGATAGCATAACAACAGATTTATACAAGAAACAACTTGATCAAGTAAATGAAGCATTAAAAAGTCAAACGAATAATTCAGATGTAAAAGACTTATTGCAGTTGCGAGATGATCTGACTCAATTATTGAGTTTGTGTGTTGATTGTTCATCAGAAAATACAACTGCAATTGAGAATGCAGAATCATTGGAATATGACATAGCTACTGATAGACAACATGTAAGGAGTGGAACAACATCAAATATAGAAGATGAATTGAGTGCATTTTACAACAATGAATCACAAGCAGAAAATGACCAGGACAAAACAGGTCAAAGCAATCCAGATAATGTTGATGCTGATGGGCATACTATGGATAACGAATTAGCAAATTTTTATTCAGAGATATCTAATTTGGATACAGAATGTCCTTCTTTGCATAAGACTGATGAAAGCTCATTGTCAATATTTAGTGAAAATATTTCTAAATGTGAAAACAATGACTCGTCCGATCCAAAAAATGAAATATTTTTGGACAGTATTGAATATGTGGATGACATAAGTGGTGTAAAATGTCAAGCACCGTTTTCTACAGAATGGTCAGGTACACAATATCACAATGCAATGATACAAGTAGCAGTGGAAAATGATGAAAGTATATGTGATAAGGCTGATAATGAAATGAACGTTAAAGTACTCTTTTTGAACCCAATTATGAAAGAAATGCAGCCTTGCCCATATTATCTTGAAGGGAATTGTAAGTTTGATGAAGCTGGCTGTCGATATTCGCATGGTTATATTGTCAATATATTTGAGCTAAGGCCTTTTGTCTCTCCAGATTACTCAAATTTAACTGAAGGACATAAATGTTTGGCTAAAACACAGGATGGATTATGGAAACCTGGTATTGTGGTTAAAATTGAAGACAATCTTTACTCTGTTAGTTTTTTGCACAAATCTCCAACTCTTACACTAGCTTTACATGACCTTTTGCCTGAGACTAATCATATTATTATTGATGAAAATGAAGTAGATTCTGACGAAGACATATTAGTAGAGATAACCCCCCAAAATTTATACAAAGAATATGGAGCATCAAGTTCCAAAGGGATGCCTCCTCGTTTAGGCTTATGGGAAGAACACACTAACGGCATAGGCTCGAAACTTATGCAGAAAATGGGATATAAATTAGGTGAAGGCTTGGGTAAAAGCAGTCAAGGCCGTTTAGAACCTGTTCCAATTGTCATGCTTCCAGTTGGTAAATCGCTCGACCATTGCATGGAAGTAAGACTTAAAAAGGGTGTAAAACACATTGGCGATACAAACCAAAATACACAAGGAAGTGAAAAAGTACTTAGGAGAAAAAAACGTGACAGATGTGTTTTTTCATTCCTCAACAAGACTTTAGGTGTCAGTGAAGCTAAAAAAGACTCTAAAAAGCAAATTGAAATGCCTAAAGATATGTTTGGAATAAAGGCTGGTACTGAACAAAAAAATGTAAAAAATTTTAATAAACAAATGATGAAAAATGAAGATGACATGAAAAAAATTAAAGCAAAAGTTCTCAAAGTAAAAGAATCATTACGAAGGAACCAATCTAATCCTTCAGTCGTCAAATCTTTGACTGAAAAACTCGACAAACTAAAGGAAGATTTGACAAACATGAAAGAACTGGAATCTAATATTAAAATTCATAAGTCAAGAATGGAAACTCATAGAAAAATGACAAGTTTTTGATTGGTGTGCAATACTTAAAAAGAAGATAACAACATAATTAAGAATTCCATGTAGTGTTAATACTATGAAGTTGTAGTTTCTATAAAATGTTTATTTTGGGATTTCTTATCATAGCGCACTAAAGTAAAATTGTTTTCACACTGTAGCAAGCAGAGCTTGTTTGAAATCAACGTGACTCCAGGTTTGGAGCCAGAGTATGTTCAAACAGCAGCTAGAGCTCCAGTTTTTACCTCTGAGCTGGGCTGAAATTTCACGGCAGTGGGTCTCAAAATCATGATGCTGAAAATGATAGATTTCATTATTTATTGGAGTGTGATATAAAAAAAATTATAAAAGGTAAATAATATGTAAACATTCAAGAACTGGGGACTCACTGAAAATTTCTGGTAGCTTCAGCTCCAGCTGGTATGGGGAACTTAGCGCCAGCTTCAACAAAACGTCATAACTGCAGGCTCTTATTTCACTAGATAATTAAAGCGTTTGGCTTGATTGCTCTCAGGTGATGACCCAAGGGTTTTTTAGCAATAAGTCACAATTCAAAAAAGTGCTCAAAAAGTGTTTTTCATTCGACTATTCATTTGAACTAAATTACATCGTCATTAATAAATCCTTGATTTAGAAAAAGTGATGTTGATTGATTATTTAATTTTCGTAAATATTTTGATCAATGCCTGATAATCAAGAATCAATTTTCATTATTTGATACCGACTCATATTTGCTAGCTATCACACTGTGACTCTGTTTTATTTGATTTTTTTGTTTTTGTATTTTCTCAATATCAAGAATAAGTTCAATATCTGTTTAGCGTTATTTGAGAATATAGGGCGATGAATGCACAAAGCTGGGTGCGTAAGTTATCTCTAGAGAAGAAGAAAGTCCCAGAAAATGCTGATTTGAAAGAAAAGATTGTTACAATGGATTGCTCTGCTAAAGCTGCGATTCAGGATGTCTGGAGATGTGATGGCACAATAGAAAACTTACAGACAATTCATGAAAATGCTCGTAGAAAAATTAATGAGCTTCGTGCTGCTATTCAAGATTTTGAAACAGCTGCACAGGAAGCTGATGATGTGAAACAAAAATTAGAAATGGAAGAGTCGGTCAAATTTTTTAAGGAACAAATTCAGAACACAAATTCTACGTTGCGCAAAGCATATTTGACTAAAAAGATTGCTCTCGATGAGGAGTCGAAAATGTTACTTCTTGGTGGTGCTAAAAACTCAGAAGTTCGTCGTCGTCAAGCATCTGCTGCAAATCAAGAAAACCTTGCACGAACTGCGAACGATGTAACACAAAGTCTGTTGAGCATAAGTCGGGTCATGAGTGGCAGCGTGCAACAGAGTGCTGACTCATTGAATACGTTAGTCAGGTCGTCTGGTTCTTTAAAACAGACCGATGAAGAATTGAAAGACCAGTCTGGCGTTATCCAGACCAGTCATAGGTTATTGACTAAATATAATAGGCGAGAATGCACTGATAAATTTTTAATATTTCTTGCATTGGCTTTCTTTTTCAGTACAGTGCTATATATTTTGAAAAAGCGTTTGTGGCCTGTGTAATAATTAACCCTATAAAATTTTACTAATAAAGAATGATATTGTTGTTAAATTCAAATATATTTAATTTATTAGAAATCATTATACTTAGTATTAGTAACAGTTATTCTAGATATCAGTGCTTCGTTTTCTAGAATTTCATTTCTCGCTGTCTGGATATTTTCCTGACTGTGTTTAACTTGATTTATTCTGTTGTAGGTTAAAAATGGTTAATAATGTGCAATAATCCGTCAAGAATCTTTGATATAATTTTTTTGTGGTATTGAGTATTAATACTGATCTAAAAATAATTCGGCAACAAATGTTCTAGGTTGATGTCACTGATGCACGAACAATGCAGGGTGAAAAAAAGATTCTACATGTTCATGTTAAGGAATATTATAAATTCAATTTAATAGTTCAGTACTCCAACCTAATTCTAGCTGATGACATAAATTTCTGGCGAATTGAAAAAAGATTTCTATGGTTCAGCACTTAGGACTTGACAGTTACTGTTTATTTCGGAATTATGTATAATCTATTCAATGTTTACACAATATTGGTGTTGTCATGTGTATCTTTGTCTGTCATCTGTAAAATTTTGGTATTGGTTGTTGCGGATAATGTGGGAAAAAGAAATAGGTTTTGACACAGAAATTTGATCCCTAATTGGATGAAATTTAGTTGTGCAGGGATTGAATATTTTATTATGCCATATATTGTCTGTGTTTACAGTTCTTAAAATAAAGTTTTAGTTTTTAATATTTACCTGTAGGAATATTGAAAGGCGCTCAAATAAAATGAAGCTCCTTATTGTGGCTTTGGTTATTGGACTCAGCCAATGCTTTGGAGAAAATAATTCGTTACCTGGTGGAATTATGGAATTGGACACAAATGGTTTTCCACCAGAATTTGGTCGGGCATATAAAAAAGCAAAGATCCCATTCATTTTTATTAATGCTGATAAAGTTACACATCAGGTATTGATACTGTTGTAATTGTAATTAGTTAGTCCTATTTGCCTAGTATATTATGTTGTAATATTCATTAGCAAATATTCTAGACATCAAACATCATTTCTATTGTGCTATTTTGTTCAGTATTGAAGGACTAATGTTTATGATGGTTAATCAATAGGCTTAACTAATAATGTGCCAAAATCAGATGGGTAATTTTAATATATGTAACCAATCACAGTTTGTGAATATCTCGCTAGGTTGTGCATGGAAATTACAACTAATATTTATGTGATATATAAATCCAATTTTGAAAAATGAAAACAGAGTGAAAAATGCGACTCAACAGAATAAAGTATAGAATCTTGAAATTTTGATTCAGTCCTTGCTAAACATTCATATCGAGTGGTGGTATTTAACACTCCAAACATTCTGAATTGTTTACCTATTCTGTGAAAACTTTTTTTCAATATTTTGAAGCAATTACGGTATGTATAATAAATTTGATGACACTTAAACTGATCTCATTAAAAATCGGTAATTCTGGTTCTGTAATACAAAAATTTTGCCTGCGACGTCAAGCATTTTGTAACTATTGCTACTTTGTTAATTATCTTTGAAAAACTTTCATTCCTTGTAGGTTGTATCAGGAGTGATGTATACGGTTGATTTCACTGCTGGTCCTGCTGAATGTTTCAAATGGAATGGCTATGGTCGTGACGATGATTGTGAATCTAAAAAAGTAAGCCTTACTGCCTTAGTAATTAGTATTACCTAATATTTTAATACAGGGGTATGCAACCTTTAATACACGAGGGAAAGATTCAAATTTCAAATACCTGGGTAAAACTGCGAGCCGCACCTTCATTTAACACAGGCATTCTAGTACTGTAGTAGTTGCTCGCACAAAAATTTTAGTTTTTGATTATATGACCTGTGTTGTTCGCTTCGCACAACTAATTGATAGGGCAGGGGTTCTCAAGCTTTTTTCAGGACGACCCCAAGAAGAACTTTCAAGCGTCCAGTGCGACCCCAGGTCAATGTATATATTTTTCATGGAACTTTAGTTTAGAATTTCTTTCACTGGACTTTTGAGTTTGGTCATGTGGTGGTATTAAGTAAAATAAGCCAAAACCAAACAGTGATGTCACAATAAGCAAGTACATTTTCCATAGCTTAAGCATAGAGCGATGTCTATTTTACAGTAAGCCATGGTACAAACTGCTAAATTTAACACGGTTTGTTAAATCTTAGATGATTTGTGTATCCATCCTCTACCATACCTCAGCGACCTCGTGACCTGTTTGCGACCCTACCTACTTATCACTCCGACCCAATTTGGGGTCGCGACCCCTGGTTCGGGAACCTCTGTGTTAGGGCATTGTAACGTCATAGGCATAGATAAGAAATTGGACTGGGATAATATGCCTTGCAACAGAACAGAACTGGAATTACTCTCACATAACAGATTAAACCAAATTGAAAACTTGTTTCGTGGGCCGCACATCATTCAAACTTGGCACTGGCACTGCATAATTTTTGCACACCCCTCACTGCAATTGTTTGTTTTTATCAATGTCTTTTGTTAGAAATTGAAATATTTTGGGCTTAACTTTTTCTTATGACAAGTTACCTATTTCCATCTTTAGCAAAAATGTCATCTAAGTTATGTTGTTCAAGCATGGAAGAAAAATAATCTGACAGTTGTTGATTCCAAATGCCAATGTAAGTATACATAATTCATTCAGTATAATAATAAATATCCAAGGCGTTAGGGAAAGTTAAAAATTTGCCATCATTTTATCACCTAAAAACAAACGGTGTTCTGGAATTTTACCTTGATCGCATTTTACATTGTTTAATTGAGAAAAATTTAATTTTTTAGTTCTAATGGAAATATAAGAGTTTGCGTCATTCCGTATTCTACAAAATTTGATTTTGAAAAAAGAAGTATAGGTTTTAAATGGTGCATTGTGCTAGGGAACAATGTTTCACTAAATCATGATTTTAACTGAAAAGTTTTGCAACCTTGTTCAAAGCTTTTAAGTGTTTGTTAAATTATTTATCTACAGTTGATTCTGATCCGGAACTAATTGAAAGTCCATTTGATTCAAATACTGATCGTCGTGCTTTGAATCTGTTCAATGACTTCATTACAGTACATGGTAGACCGTACAGGTAAGTTCAAATCATGATATAAAAACAGTGTTAGATGCTGAATAGGTATTAAGGTAGGCTTTTTAATCTTAGTAGTTCCTTATTTTGTATTCTGAAACATGTCCCATTTCGTGTGATGGTAAATAGAATTCTCACATTCGTTTAGTGGTAGTTTAAGCCTACCAATCTCGTATGTTTAGAACTAAAATAAGGAAAATGGGAATAAACTTATGGCCCAATAAACTTGTTATTATATTATTATGCTACCTGTTTTATTTTGTGTATAAACGTCTCTCAGTTTTGCTCAATTTTCAAAGAATTATAATCAGATCTTATTAATTTTAGAAATAATACAAATGATGGAATGTATTGGAAAAGATTTACTGTATTCAAGAAAAATTTGGCCATTGTTGACAAACTTAACAGCAATAAAGATGACAAAGCTGAATATGGAGTCACACAATTCATGGATTATACTTGTATGTTGTTCTTTATTTACAGTTTCGTATGTTTAGGTGAATAATTTTTAAAAATGTCCATATGTGTAATTAGCAAATTCAGCATTTGTTAGTAATCCAGTTATTTTACGAAGATATTGAAAATAACACCCAAAAATTGGAATCAGGTTTTCAACAAATGAATAGAATCAAACGTGATAATTCAAATTCAAGAATTAACAATATTCCAAATCTATGATTCGAATATTGATCAGTTGTAAACCGGCTAATTCTTCTGTTAATGCACAAGAGTAGAAGCAAATAAGTAAGAATCAAACGTTGCTTCTATAGGGCTGTTGATTATGCCATGTCATTATGATTTGTATTTCGGAACTTGTTGTAGTAAAACTTGATAATAAAGAATGCTATAAAATATAATCATTTACTTGCTCTGCACGATGGAGCCTAAAATTTTGAAATTTCTACATGAAACAAAGAAATTTTGTTTCAAATACTGATTACTTTGGAAATATTTGCACATATTAATCATCATGTTCAATTTTATATTTATAAATGTCAGAATTAAATATAGAAATAAAATAATGTGCTTGTTTTTATGACTTTATAACATAACATATATTCAGTTAGCCTCAGGTATCATATTAATGCCAGTGTTACTATCTGTTAACAGCTCGGGAATATAAGAAATATTTGGCCCCTGGTTTCATTGATGCTGTGAAACCTGAACCAAGATTAGTTGATGTTGACAATGTGGAAGATGTACCAAAATCTGTTGATTGGACAAAACAAGGTGCAGTAACAGAGGTCAAAAATCAGGTCAGAAAATTATTATTGCTGAATTTTATTCAATGAAACTTTATAACCTTTGGACTGTCGTTTTCGATGACCTTTAGTAAACTCTTTGTCTAACATGACCGTAAGTAACCTACTATTCATGACTGTAAGTAACCTACCATTCATATTTCGAAATTTACAGCCATGGTTGATAATTATTTCAAACATAGCCACGGATATACTGCTACAATGAATGGTTTGAACCATATATGGCCATATATAATATTTATCATTTCTGGCAAAGCAAATGAACTCTGGAATTCAGTAAACATGGTTCATAAACACAATAAGGCCTATATTGTCATGTGAATCTGACATCATGCTTTGTTAACCGAGTTAAGCATGCATGCTTTCATAATGCCCACAGGAAAGTGAAATTTGCATACAGGTTCACAAAATGGCAATCTCGCTCAACTCACTTATTGCATCAATTGATATAGAATAATTACATTAATCAAGAATATTATTTCTATTTTTTGAAGTGGTTCAAGTTTTGGATGGAATGTATTTGCTATATTTCAAAATAGTTTTTACTCAATTTACTTATTAATATTCAATCTTGGTGCCACATAATTAGTGCCATCTTATACCGTGGAATTAAAATACTAGTATTGGTGAAATTTTAATATAAGGCTTACCAAAAAGAAAAAACCAATTTGAGGCTTTTTTTATTTCTGCCCTGGACCACAATTTTGAACTGTTGAAGTTATTGATAAAAGAGATAAGATATAAATGATATTTTATAGATGCACTAATAAACAAAGCTCGCCAAAGTCAACATTTATTTAATTCTTGTGACTTTGGGGTTCCCTAGGTAGTGTTTCATTTCACTTTAGAAGGCACAGACAAAAGGGTTGGAAAACACTGATCTACACTGTTACTGCATAGATATACAAAACAGCGTTTGATGTAAAATAATTCTAAAATAATAATTTCCCCTCAATTATTTATTTTATTTTTATTTTCAAATTTATTTGTTATTGAACATAGGTAAATAGACTTGGACTGTAACGAGGTGCTGATTTAATAGTAATTGATTCTTTTTATATATTTTTCCATAATGCAGCATTTTACACAAATTTTTTAAATTTAACGTGTTTTAGGGTCAATGTGGATCATGTTGGGCATTTTCCACCACTGGTAATGTAGAAGGGCAATGGTTCTTGAAAACTGGAAAATTGATATCTCTTTCTGAACAAGAATTAGTTGATTGCGATAAAACAGACCTTGGATGTAATGGTGGTCTGCCAGCAAATGCTTACAAAAGCATTGAAGAATTAGGTATGTGTTATCAGTTCACCTTTTCTAGATGGACATTGAGTTTTTTCCATGTTAGTTTATGATGGACTAGGATACTTTGCTTTCTCCGAATGGTTCTTGTCATTTAGAAACATTGAAGTTCATAATTTCTTATGCTTAATCTGTATAGCAAAGCCTTTATGAACATTTCACACTGATTTAAATGTTTCGGCTCACATTGAAAGATGTCTACGGCTAAGAATCTATCTTGGGTGCAGTTTTCTTAGTCATTATGTTATTTAAGGTGGACTGGAAAAAGAGAAGGACTATCCTTATGATGCCAGAGGAGAGAAATGTAGCTTTGATAAATCTGAGGTAGCTGTATACATCAATGACTCAGTAACACTTCCAACTGATGAAGGAAAGCTTGCTTCTTGGTTGTACAAAAATGGACCAATTTCTATTGGAATCAACGCTATGGCAATGCAGGTCAGGCTAAAACTTGAAACTCTTGTGAAGGAAGGAGGATAGGATTTACATATTTATCCCGGGGGAGAGGAAAGCCGATAAGACGGCTTATCCATATGGCGAACCACGGCCTCTCGTCCGGTTACCATTCCAAGTCGGGTATGGGATTAGTTATATATTGTTTGTTTTCGGAAGCATGGACTTGGTGGTGGAGGAAGCCGTAACCGACCAGCGGTTACGTGAACCACCCAACGGCGGCGAGGAGTCCAGCAATCCTCTCGCACATAACCATCCCTGCATGGGATTCGAACCTGCGAACCCACGCAGAGTGATTAGAGGTGCGGTGGCGAGTGTATTCCTAACGCTTAGCCCGTTGAGCCACACCCCCGCGCCAATTAGTGCATTCAAGAAAAGCATACTTATTTTGCTCTGCAACAAGGCTGTCTTTTGTTTAGTTTTTGAAAACTTGAATTTTATCAGCATTGAAATTTCAAAAAATGGCTTCATTCCAACATCAGCTTCCATCAAACAGTTTCTAAGGCCCAGATGAATTGAATCGCTCTCGATATTGTAATATTCAAATCGTTTTGTTTGTCGCAGCACCACTACCTTCTCAAAGAGTCTGGTTGATCAATACTGTTTCAATGTGCTTATATCTTTATTGAACCATTTTTTTAGTTTTACATGGGTGGAGTGTCGCATCCATGGAAATTTCTCTGCAGTCCAAAGAATCTTGACCATGGAGTTCTTATCACTGGATACGGAGAGACTGACGGTGAGTTTAACATTGGTGTCATTTCGTTTTCCTTCTCTCTCATTGTACAAGTAATTCGGAAGTCTTGAGGTTTAAACTTTTCAGCAATGCTTGGCCAAGAATTGTTCCTTGAGTACAAGGTTACCAAGGTTATGCTTTTTTGCAAATAAACTGAAGGGCCCATAATTAAGAATTTTCAGAATTGGTGGCTTAGAGGCGTTAGAGTTGACAATCATTACAAACAGACTATCAGGAATTAATCGTAAAAAGGTGTTTACATTGCATTGTATATTCTACAACTAATCACAGTATTTATGCACTTTATGATCTCGAAATACTCTAGCAAGCGCATACTGTCTGTAATAAAAAAATAAATAGATTTGTAGATAAGTCTATTCGTTTTGCCTTCATTAGATGGAAACTTATGTATGATCATATTTTAGATGGAGAACCATATTGGATCATAAAGAACAGCTGGGGACCGAATTGGGGAGAGAAAGTAAGTATTTGTAATTCTGATTCAATGTAGTTTTCTTATTTGTCTCTATGAATTTGGATCGCTAAGTTCCTTGAATAATAGCTGCAAGATATGTTGTTCGAAACTTTTTTTCAAGTTCATGTTTCGGCATTGAATTTTTGTGAAATGAAGTCATTTTAGCAATTACTTTACTTCTTTGTAGGGATACTATCGAATTTACAGAGGAGATGGTTCATGTGGTGTGAACAAGATGCCGACCTCAGCAATCGTGAAATGAGCAAAGATCGAATGCTAAAATTTTCGACAGGAATATTCTTTTCTTTTTATATTAATATTTCGGCATAGTTCCATATTATATGGTTGTAATTTTATCTCAAATTTTACCCCACCATACCAGTTGTCTTAATCCAGAGCTTAAGCCAATAGCAGGTTCTGAACTGTAGTTGTATTTTGTCCCTATATCTTTTCCCCTTTTATATGTATATACATCACATTTTTGTCCAATTTTAGCGTGATGCACTTAATGTTTAATTACAGTTCCATTGTGTCTGTTCTTATAGTTTTAGGACCTCATCTTTTGGTTAGTATTAAAACTGCAATACAAATTGGTACACAAACATGTTATTTTTGTCGACTGCCCGGAGACTCATGTGCAGAACATATTTTAAACCCAGCAGTAAATGAACCGGATTTTCCTGCCTTTGCGATCCCACATGAGAATTTTTCCCCATTTCATAACATGGGTCACCATATCAGGATGATCGTTGGCACTCTGTCATCGTCAATTCAACATATATATATATACTAGTCATCTCTAAAATTGAAGTGCAAACGATCGTGTGTTAAAACGCTATTCAGTCAAGGATTTTGCGTGCTCATATAGACTCTTAGGAAAGCATTAACCGAGCTAGAATTTAATGCCCGATGTTTGGATTTATCATTGCGATAGAGATGTCTGTCCGTTTGATACCATACCAGGAACCATAGACTCTGCAAGGATTTTTAAAAAAGGGGGGGAGGGGGTCTCAAAATATGAAGCAGAAATTCGCTTGAAACGGTTTCAAACATTCGCAAAAATTACGCCATTTGTAAAAGTAGCAGACTTTTAGGATTATAACGATTTTACGATACGAGCATCTAAAACGTCTTGCCATTTTAATTTGTGTTCGATGTGACTCGCCGTTACGTAAAAGGATTAATACTTCGAAATAGCGAGGAAATAAATTTGCGTACATATATCATGATACGTGTTTTAGATCTGGGGAATTTGAGTTGCCACGATTATTTTTAAGATATCCCAAGGTTGACGATAAAAGACAACAGCGTATTATGTTTCTATAAAAAGTTGATTGAACATACCACACACGTCGATTAGCTTATAAAACATAATCTGTGGAAAGTCGTGTGCGCCCCGACGGCATTTTAAGGATGGATAATTGAATGTTTCAACTTTAGTGGCTATGGTACCTATATAGTTTCGGACCGATTACAATGTGTGCGGCGGGCGCACGAAATTTTGGAGATTTACAACGTCTAAAATAGCATTTTTGATCTGTCGCGGCGCTACGCCTATAGCAGGGATGGCGAACCTTTTTCAGTGAGTGGGTCAAAAACTATATTTTTAGCGCAGAACAGGAGAGAGTGGGTCACAGATATTTAATCAATGTTTGTATCTATAAGAAACTTCTGAAACAAATCTTATATGCTTCTCTTGGTGTTGGTCTAGTTTTGGGCTCTTGGTCTAGTCAGGGACATATTATGGCACTTGATTTTATTAAATTAAAGTACGAAAACACGCATATGTATTATCAAAATCGTTTGGGATGATGGGGCAAATTATTTTACGGTTCCAAGAAGTTTGGAGGGAATGAATATAACAATTGCATCATTATATCATAAACGATGTCAGAGTCAATAGTCGGATACCGGTATACAGCGGTGCAGACATGCGAACAAGATTAGGGGTTTTGAAAATTACCATACCGGTCCGACAATTTGTATACCGTGTTTCCCCGAAAATTAGACCTAGCCTGAATTTTAAAAATGATGTTAATATAAGCCCTCCCCTTAAAATAAGACCTAGTCAATAACGCGAATTTTTTTACCTAGTCTATAGCAAGAAATCTATCCTACACTTTTCAAATGATTAATATTCTATGTATAAAAACGTGTTATTTATAAGTAAATGAATATCGGTTTTCATATCTTGTATATGATTCTCTACTTTGTAATTATTTTTGATAAATAAAATATATGACATCCCCCGAATATAAGCCCTAGTGTTATTTTTCGGAAGAAAATTGAAATAAGACCCAGTCCTATTTTCAGGGGAACGTCGTATAAGCGATCGCAGCCTTGACTGCCCATCTGACGATGCATTATAGTTATAGTTAGATTAATTTAGGGCTGACTTTATCAATTTTTATCGCTGATACTTCAGCATCTTTATTTTATTTGCGCCTTTATTTTATTTGTGCGGGTCACGAATAAAACGCGGTGGGTCAGTGGTTCGCCATCCCTGGCCTATAGGCTGGACGCGGAAACTGCATATCATAATCGGGGTTTGCTTGGTTAAACCGGGACACGAAATGTACATATCAATCGTTTTGTCCCATTTGGCATCTCTTCAGAAAATTTCGTGTTCGGATCGTCGGTTCTTATTTGTAATTATTGGAAACACCCATATGAAGCTTCTTTCCTTACCCGCCAATACCAATGGGAGACCTCTTTGCCCATATTTGGCCTACGAACAGTTGACCAGTTTGTCCTATCAAGTCAGTCAATCTGAAGCAAAATAATAACTGGCTAACCAATCCCATACCCGACACGGACCGTCAACAGGACGACATGCCGTGGTACGCCACATAATTAAGCCGTCTTATCGTCTTAAGCCAGGGGTGTGCAAACTTTTTCATAGGCGGGCCAGATATCGATAACTGGGTAAAACCGCGGGCCACACCTTCATTTAACATAGGCTCTCTATTAGTTGAAGACACAGAATAGTGTCTTTTTGTTATTGATTTTATGGCATTATCCAAGGTCCTTGCAGAAATGATGAGTTGAAACGCAAAAATGTTTGAAAACTTTTATTCAAATTTAGACAAATTGAGTAAGAAATTTGCTGCTGGATTATCTTCCCGACTACCTTTATCCAAATTTGCTTTATTGTAAGTGCTAGCAATTCGATATCCATTTCCAAGTATTTGTCTTTCAGGCGGTTTTATAAGGCCAATTTTAGAAAAAAAATATGTTGAGCCGAAAATTGCCATGACTTTTTCAAATATGGAAAGTTATCTTGGTTGAGATGTTTTCGGTAAAAATCTCTAGGATTCATTTCTAAATAATTTGCTGTCAAATCTTATTTGATGTGATGATAAAACAGTGATAAATCAGTGATGATAAAACATAAATCATTTCATTGCTTCTCCAGCGTATGAAGGGCTCCAAATACTGGTACCTTCAACTTGTGATATACCATATTAGACCAAACATAAATCACATTAGTAATTAAAATAATAATTTGTATTTCTATGGATTATTGAGAAAAAAACTTGGGTACTCCAGAAATACGTGTACCAAAATGACGGACAACGGAACATAGTATGTGTACCAGGTTAGGCCATAATTTTAGGTACAAATACTACAAAACTCACTCGGTTAGTCCCTGTATTCATAATAAAACTAAAATAAGGAAAATTGGAATAAAATTATGGCATAACCCTAACGTGGTACTTCAGGAGTACGGGAACTTAACTGTAATCACATATATCTTAATCTTCGTTCTAGCTGCTGTGTTTCTTCAATTGTTTTCGTATTCCATGAGTCCTATTATCCATCTTGTTGTTTTTATTTTGGCTGCTGTACTTTGCGTATACATTTGCTCTAATTTTTGTAAATTTTTTGAATACTTTTTCAAATAGTGTTGTCACATCTTGACATTCCGTTACATTGTTCAATAGATATTCGCTCATTTATGATTTGAAAATATTTTTCTTTTATATCAAGTGTCGGATGTTCAATGATGTGATGATGGAAATAAGTTTCAGCTACTTGCATGTATTGAGATAGCCCTTGTATAAACATTGACTCTTAAAAAAGTTATTTATGGATTGGTTTGATTAATTTCTTGAGCAGAGCCTTGTGTTTCTGGGTTGCATTGTTAACAGAAATTGCTGCTTTACCTATGGATTCCAGATTGTTGTCACATTCATAAAAGCTGCAGTGCGCAAATCACTGCCCCTTCGTTTCATTTGACGCCATTGAATTCTTTCTCATAATCATCACGGCAAATGTTTTTACGTTTACTCATTTTATCTCTTATGAAGTTCCATATCTAAACTAAATTAAAAGTTTAATTTACCGGTATATTCATTCATAAGGTTAAAAATAAGGACACACGTCAAAATAAGAATGTTTCTTTGAAATAAGGACAAAAATATTTCCTAAAACAAAGACCTTCAAAATAATGACAAATTCTAAAAAATAGGGCGTTATGGCAGCCCTGATTATAGGTCAAGTGGAGAAAAAACTTCTGTAAAAGCTACAATACTTGAGATGGAGTGAGACCAAAAGGCTGTGCTACTACGCGTTTTTTTTTTATATAAAGTGCAAAGTATTCATTTTCGTCACCACTTTACTTACAATCAATCAAGTTTATTTTTTTCCAACCGGTATAAAATAAATAAATAACACAAGCACAAATTACAAGAAAATAGTAGACAGTTTTACTGGGGAAGGGAATTCGCGGGGAACCAAAAATAGTTATCAAGCAGCGACACCCGGAGTACCACCGTTATTATTGGATGAGCAATAAATAAGGTGAACACTAAAAACAAATACGTTAAGCTAGTGTTTACAGGGGCTATTGTTTGTTATTATATGAGGGAAATTATTAAAAAAGTTTTTTGAGATTTGGGCAAAAATTATAGAGCATGGACATAGCAGGTAGCAGCAATACAATAATAATATAACTCGAATACGTAAGGAAATAAACCTAGTCGTCTTGTTTTCATCTATCCATAGTCATCAAGTAGATGAATTTTTAATCGCTTACTGAATGTTGCAAGTGAGTTTTCTTTAATATTAGACGGAATGTTTTCCAAAATTAGAATGCCTTCTGTTTTGAGCGTTTTTTGTTAATGAAAATGGACATCGAGGCATGAAATAAGTCTTTTTCGTAACACTCCTTCTGGCAAGGGTATGGATTGTTGAAATTTTTGTAAAAAAGCTATGAAATATAGGGGGTAGCATATGATTTTCGAAGCGATACATAAATTTGGCAATTTCAGAAAGATAGATATTTTTCAGTTGCAATACTCCACACTGCTTGTATAAGAGTGAGTTATGAACATGCTGTGATTCTGCAGATAGCATGCAGCGAATTGACTTCTTATGCAGAATTACTAGTGGTTTTAGCGTAGTTTTATTAGTTCCTCCCCAACTTATAATGCCATATTTCAGATGAGAGTAGCCTATATAACACTATAGTATACAATTTTTTAATGTATCGATACCGAGGATTCTACGTAATTTATACAATATTCCGAGTGATTGTGAAACTTTTTTACATAAGTGATCAATAGGGATGGGACGAGTCCGGCATTACAGAGATTCGACGAATCCGA